TGATGAGATCGTAGGATTGACTAGACATAGGATTCTCAAAATAATGGTAAACAGGGTTTATCAGAAATGGAAAAACTGTAGGAGTGGAGGAGGAACCAGGAGTTGGTAAGGTGGTAGAGGGTGTGAAATAATGACTCTCTAGGGATGATTTCAAGGATAATGATGAAGTGGGAGCGGTGTCAATGGTGGGAGAATGAGACGATTTTTCGATCGCCATTAGATGAATACTTGGTAGACGAGTATAGAGAGAAATGAGGAGAAGATCCCAACTGTACAGAGTAGATGAAGGTTCATGACTTGCCTTGAGAGAAAAAGAAGGTTTTATTGGAAGAAAGGCTAATGATGAGTGGAGAGCGAAACAGGTACTGAATAGTTCTGAAGAACGGCGGTAGGTTTGTGGGAAAGTGTTGCCGTGCATAGGGGATGAAAGGATTTGAAAGACAGGACATGACACGCAGATGCTGAAAAGTCAGATGATGTGGCATTTGAATTAATTTTGTTAAACACATATTTTTTTTTGTTTTAGGAGAGCATGCAAAATAAGCACATTACTACTAACCTGAGATACGAGAATATGATGCCAGAGCAGTCTTTTGAACAAAGTTTTAGCAGCTCCCCTCTCGCAGTTTATAGCCATACCTTTAGCTTCTATGATCATCATGCGTGTTTACCTACAACGGTATTGATGTGAGTTAGGCTTGGTCAGAAAACACTTTATCTCCCTTTATCTGATGGTATCTTACACAACTAGCAGATGGAAGATCAGGTTCTTCATTAGATTCTTGTGACCCTATCTTCAGCTTGATTTATCCGAAACATTCTCTTCTTAAGGCTTTGATGCAGATATCTAGAGTTTGGTCTTCTGTTCTGCAATGGTTTCCACTGATCAATCCTTTCTTCATATTGACCCTCAGAGGATGATCTCACCCTTCAATGTGTTTGCAATTTCTCTCCAGTTGTTGATGAGGTCATTTCGTTTTGCTTCCTTGTCTCCCAGAAGATAAGGCAGGAATCATGACAGGTGCACCAGGTTCTGTGTGAGACGTGGTGGAGGAAGTTGAGTTGTCTTTTGCCAGTTTTCCTTCATCTTGATCGCTTTATCATCCTCCCTATTTGAAGCCTCATATACTTCCTAGAGATAGGGTCGGTTCATCATATTGATCATCATCGTTTCTTTCTTGGCAGGGAAAAGTCTCTTGTTGAATACCCCATGAGCATCTCATGCCATTTAGTGCTTCCTTTGTTGGGGACCTTTTGACCTTATTTTGTGGGTTGTTCCCTAGAAGGAATTCTTCACTCGTCTATTTGCATTGTGCTTCCCAAGCTGATCCTTCCTATTGTCAGGAGCAACATTTTCTTCCAATTGGCGGTTCCTAGCGCGTTTTGATTTAGGAAGGACCTGGTTCGACACCTGTTCTCAAGAGAGAGCAGTGTTCATTCCTTTTGCCTAGAATTTTGGTGATTCTATAGGCGATGAGCACTATCCATGCATCATTTTCCAGTTCCGTCTTTTCCTACTGGAGTGCCAAGGGAACCTCTCTGCCTTATCATTCACTGAGAATGTACCCTTTACTTTCTTCCCAAGGATACATTTCCTTCCTGCAGGGCTTTCAGTGAGAGACATTTCATGATGTTTCCAGCTGCGTGCTTTAGGCATTCACTGTCCATAGTCCATCGCAGTCTGCTTCCTCTCACTGCTCCCTGCACATGCACATCAAGGGTTAGATTTAGGAACCCAAACTAGTTTGGGTCCCTTATTACTAAAAAAAGGATGAATGAGGGATTTCCTAGTCCACGCAGGCAGCATCCGCTTTTTGCGAGTGGTACCTGGTCCTTTGCTAGTAGTCACTCTATCAGTGAATGCTTTGTTCTTCTGAGCATACTGAACCCTGGCCTGACAATTTTCTTTAAATTGCCCATTGTTTCCGCAGTGGGTACATTGAGAGTTATCAGGTACAATGACATACTTGCTGTGTGGGTTGTAGGGAGTTTTCTCCCTTTGGAACTCGATGCCCTGCTTGTTCCCACTCAGTTTGGAGTTGCTGATTCCTCTCGAGTTCACTGCAAAGACTGGTTTTTACAACATTTAACTCTTTTTCAAGCATGATGTATGCCTCACTGGCTACTTCCTTCCCTTTCCCAAGGCTTACATTCCTATGTTCTCTATTGAGTCCCTCAATGGTTTCCTCTAGATCAGCGCATATTGCTAACAGGTCATCTCTTTCCTCTTCAGTAGATGCAACTTTTTCTTCTAAGGTGTGCTTCTCATTGTTAAGGCCTTCTATTGTTTCTTTTAGATCAACAACTACTACAATCAAGTCGTCTCTCTCATTTTTCACACTAGTTATTCTTTCATTCAAGGCCTCCTTTTCTATTTCAAGATTAGCTATGGTCTCATCTCAATCTACTACACAGACCACTAGATCATCTCTAGATTGCTTTGCCTCTCCTAGTTCTATTGTGAGGATCTCCTTATCATTTATAAGGCTATAATAGGCATCAATTAAGACATTTGATAAAGACCTTAGCTTCTTGGAAGAATACGATTTCAGATTTCTCTGAACATCCCGGAAGCTTACCTCATCGTCTTCATCTTCTTCTTCATCATCATCTGATGAGCCATCAGCGCGAACAGTGAGTCGTACTTCGTTGCTTCAGTTTCCACTGCCATCAAGGAACTGTTTTCTGCATCTGATTCCCTTTCGGATTCACTTGAGGAGTCTCCCCAAGCAGCAAGAGCCTGCTTAACGATATTGTCAGCAGCACTTTTTCTATTGAATCTTTTCTCTGGAACCAGGTTCCTTTTTCCTGCTTTGTCAAGATTTTGCTTGTACTGCTCCTGTTTCGCAAATGGGCTGTCTTTGATGAAATGCCCTGACTTTCCTCATCCATGACAGAGATCATTGTTCCTGTTTTACTTGAACTGCCCCACTTTCGTATGCCACCATTTCTTCGAACCATTTTTTGAAATCTCTTAGTAAGATAGGCCATGTCACTATCTTCATCACTTGACTCACTCCTTTCAACTTTAAGCACCAGGTTCTTTTCCTTCTTAGGCTCTCTTCTTTCATTGTCTTTCTTTTTTCATCTCATAAGTTTTCAGATTACCAATCAACTCATCCATGGTCAGAGTCTGTAGATCTTTAGCTTCCGTGATGGCATTTACCTTACTTTCCCAAGACCCAGGTAGGACGCTGAGAATTTTCCTTACGAGCTTATTTTTGGAAATGACATCTCCAAGTGAATGAAGCTCATTTATGATGGAGGTGAATCTAGTGTGCATATCTTGTATAGATTCATCATCCTTCATCCTAAAGAGTTCATATTCTGTGGTGAGCATGTCAATCTTGGATTGTTTGACCTGGGTGGTTCCTTCATGAGCGGTTTGCAATGCCTCCCATATTTCATTGGCAGTTTCACAAGCTGAGACTTTGTTGTACTCATCAGGTCCTATGCCACACATCAAGATTTTCTTGGCACGATAGTTCTTTTCTACAGCTTTTCTGTCAATGTCGTTGTACTCTCTTCTTCCTTTAGGCACCATTTGCCCTATTTCTTCAATCTTCTTCATGGGAACATGTGGACCATCACATATAATGTCCCACATCTCTGAATCTTCTGCCATAATGAAATCATGCATCCTGGTCATCCACCAACCGTAGTATTGACCATTGAATCTGGGAGGTCTATAGGTTGATTGTCCTTCTTCAAAGCTTGGTGGAGCATCCATTGAGGATTCCTCCTAGGTGTTAGCCTGATAGGAGAAACCTGCTCTGATACCAATTATTGACTTATGTGAGTCCACCAAACTATAGAGTACCTGGTCCTCTATGAGACTGATACGTAGAATGCAGTAACGACTGAATGTAAAGAAGGCCAGAGATTTTCTACGTGGAAAAATCCCACACAAGGGGATCAAAAAACCACGACCTACACCTGTAGGCTTTAAACTCAACTAACTTGTAATCTACCTATTACAAGCCACTTTGCAAACACCCTTTTGCAAAGGCTTCAAACTAACTTGTGATGCACCACCACAAGCCACTCTATAACTCTCCTAGTTACAGAGGATTTAACTTATGACTATTCCTAGTCACAACATAAACTCTATAGTTTACGAATTTGATTGTTCCTAAGACAGCGCTTCTATGAAAGCAAACTAGGAATTACAATGTAGAACAATTAACAAGATTACAACTCAACTATGGACGTACATAAGACTCGGTTAGAAACTGATCCTCAGTGGAGTTGTCTTCTTGTTCTTGACACACCATTGACTTCAATGCTAGATGAACTTAGTTATGCTTGAGAGAATATCACTGAATGCACGAAGAATAGTATGTCTTGCACCAGGTTATTTTATCACAAAAGATGGCACAATAGATAGTGATATCAACTAAAGGTGTATACTTCTTCCCAATGAGAAGTGACTATAGTACAATCTGCACAGCCACTTCTCGGCAGTTGCGTTCCAGCTGGATAGTGAGCTTTGTACTTCCTGTCTGGACACACCAACAGACCGGGTCCTAGTTGTGTTCCTCTTCTGTAACAATTGCCAGATAGTCATTTTCTTCTGTCACATTCCAGCTGCGCACTTGACTTGTACTTTTTTTTAGAGAACCCTAAGACAACAGGTCCCTGTTGTGTTCCTCTTTATCTTGATTGCGTACAGTCATTGACTTGCTTGTGTCGGAAAACCCTAAAGGGCCAGATCATCAGGTCCCTGTTGTGTTCCCCCCTTTGCTGATTTTCAGGCTTCGATTAGTTCACGTGAAATGTATGTCCTGTGCTCCAGGTGCTCTATCTGGTTCTTCATGACAAGTTTGTTAGATCATCAAAACATAAAATACTGAAAACCCATCACTCTCTATTTAAAAACCCTTCATCACAATCACTGCCACTCTCATAATTCTCTAAACCGTCGAATTTCTTCTTTTACTCTCACATTTCTCTCTCTTCCAAAAGCCAAATTCACAAATTCTCTCACGAAATCAATCACAATGTCTAACCCTCAAGATAACCCAGGCACTCCTCCACAACCTACCGCCTCTGATTCATCCATACCACCTCCACCCAGCACAACCCCTCAACCTAGGAGAAGGCGAGTAAAAATGCTTGCTCGTAAAACGGTGGCAACTGGTGCTCTTTTAAAGAAGTTGAACGAGAAATTAAAGCCAAGCCAAGCCCAAGATTCTGAGAACTCAAACGATTCATTCAAATTTTCAAGTTAGGGGGAAGGAACTGGGTCTTCTGACTCTGAGAAGGCTCAAAACTCCCCTTCTGAGGTACGTTCTGTTTTGGTTGAGAATGTAGACAATAGGTTTGTTCTTGTTGGGTCTGTTAGGAATGTAGAATTGCCTGAGTCAAGAAGGAGAGGTGGTAAAAATAAATATGTAAAAGAAAAGGAGAGTGAGGGTGTGTGTAGTAATGTGAGGGAAAAAGGGAAAGAAGTGGTTGGTTCTTCACCCACTTCTGAATTGGTAGTACCAGCTATCTGTGGGGTTGAACATGCAACTGTGGAAGAAAGTAGAAAGAAGACAGGGGGAAGTGGCTCAGGGGAGGCTGCTGAAGGGTTGGTTAATCTTAGTTCACAGGTAGATGAACCTGGTTCATCTGTTGAGGAGACCCTAACAGACCTTTTGAAGAAAGTGGGTGCTAGCTATGATCCAAAGAAAAGGAGAACCCCAACACCAAAAGCCCCCAACACTGCAAAACCTTCCAAGAAAAGAAAGGCTCCTTCCCCAACAACTGCTGAAATTCCCTTGCCAAAGGGGAGAGCCACAAGAAGTATGGTGAAACAGAGTGAGAGTAAATTACAAAAGGCTTTGGCTGAAAGCAAGAAGAAGAGGATGGATAAAGGAAAAACTAAGGTTGCAGAGCCTTCTGAGGCTGTTGATGTTGAGGAGATAGAACAGGTACATGAGGAGGAACATACAACTGTGGAGGTTCAGACCTCCAAGCCTAAAAAGACTAGGACTTCTTCCAAGAAGTTTTCATCAGGGTCTAAGGTTGCTGAACCTTCATTGGCCAAGAGGACAAGGTCTGCAGTGAAAAACAAACCAGTTAAAATTGCTGAGGATGAAGAATGGAGTGGTGAAGAAGAGAGTGAGTCTGATAGTGAACAGGACAAGCTTGCCAAGTTTGGCAAAAGAAAAATTCTGAAGGGTAGATTGCTGAAAGACCTGGTGGAACCAGGAATGGTTCGATTGATTGATGCACTAGCTGCTCAGGACTGGAAGGACATGGTCCTTCAGATGGATGGAAGGCTAGCTAGAAATGAAATCATTGAATTCATGGCCAATGCAGAGGTCAAGGATGGCAGAGTTACCAGCCAAGTGAAAGGAGTTCCAGTGACCTTCGATGCAGAGAAGCTGGGTGAGATTCTTGACATCCCTGTTGAGGGATATGATGACTACACTAGGCAAAGATAGCTCAGTCTGGATTCCCTTCCTTCTACCCTTGAAATCATTAGAAGATTCTGTGATGTTGAAGAAGTGAATGAGGCCAAGTTTGTGCACAAGAGTGAAATGAAGCCACAACACAAAGTCCTCTTTGAATTTGTCAACAAGTGCCTAATGCCCAGGAAGGAAAGAAGGCACATTGCCAACTATATGGACTTAGTTCTGATGGAGTGTCTTGAAAGTGGAAGACAAATCAACTGGCCTGCATTCATCATCATGCTACTGGACAGGGTTATCAATGGCGCCAAGGCCCATGCCACCCATTGTGGATTTTTTCTGACTACTATTCTGGATCGGTGCAAGGTGCCTCTGAAGAAATGGGAAATGGCCACAAACAAGGACCATTTTGGCATAAATACTTTGATTGCTTATGACTATCTAGTCACTGCCATTCCAAATGAACCTAGTTCATCCGAGAAGACACCTATCAATAGTAAAGTCAGGGCTCTAGTTCAGGAAAGTGGGGCCAAGGATGCTGAGATAGCTAGGCTGAAGGCTCGCTTAGCAGAGGTTGAATCTGAGATGGATGCTCTCAGAATTGAGCTCACCAAGGAAAAGGAGAAGAATGATGGCATTCTTCAAAATATGTTGAACCTTCTCCAAGCCCAAAACCAACCTTCTAGCTCCCCCAAGCCTTAGGACTTCTAGCCTTTATCTCCTGAACCTGTCTAGTACCACCAATGACCCAGATTAGGGAGTTTTCTTTCTTTTGGTCATGTTTTGAATATTTTTGCTTTCTTTTTGTGGATTGTGGTAGCAACATATCTTCTATCAATGATATCTACTGTTTTTGCTCTTGTTGATTGTTAATATTTCCTTGATAGTTTGAAATGTTTGCTTGATTACTGATGATTAATCCATGATTGCACTTGCAGTTGCCCCAGTGGCCACGAGTGATTGTTAAAATTCAGGGACTCATAGTTTGTTATGCAACTTTTCGATGATGCCAAAAGGGGGAAGAGATATTGTGCTTTGTATATTCTGAATAAGTGACGTTTATAACCTAATGAACCTGGTCCTTGATGATAAATAAATTTTTCTAACTTTGTATTAATGAATAAGCTGAGTTCTGACAGGGCCTAAGTGAGTGAGAAGCACACAGTTTGTCATCATCAAAAAGGGGGAAGTATAATTGTTGGCCCAAGTAAAGGTGAAGTTTTGAAGACTGACAAAGGGACTCAGACATGGACCAGGTCCATCTTGTAAAACACAGTTATGATTAACTCAAACATGTGAGATGCACGTGAAGGAGATAAACCTAACATATTAGAAATGTTATCTCCTGATCATGATCGAAAAGGTTGCATATTGGATAAGGAAAAAGACTCCTTACACAAACAGAACACGGTTTAGGAAAAGGATAGAGTTATAGTATGAGATCAACTAGAACTCTTCCACCATGGAAGAGTAGCATCTGTATCCTAGTCAATCTCTAATTGCTAACTCCTTAAATATTAGTGTTGTTCTCTTTTACAAGTAATGCACATAAGCAGAAGTTAAACGTGAATTGAGAGCAAAATAGCAGCAATTTTGCAAGCAATTTATGTGTGATTCAAGCGTGCAATCCTGAATCTACTTGAACCAGATTGAAGAACCAGTTCCAAGTGTCTATCTTTTATTCTAGTTCAATTGTAGTAGGTGATTTTACATTGTACCTTTCAGCTTATTTAGAAGCAATTGGATTAGGTACTTAGAGTTTTCAAGTTAGAGTTAACTTGAAGTTGTCGCAACAGTTGAGGCTGTGTGCCAAAACGGGATTAAAGTTAATCCTAGGTTTACAAAAGAGTTTTTGTAAATGCAGTTTTCTGCTCAGTGATTTTAGTTGAGAGTTTGGGAAAATCCTACTAGAAGGTAGGTCGTGGTTTTTTCACCTTTTGAGCCAGGTGTTTTCCATGTAAAATCTCTGTGTTCTTTATTTTCTGTAGTTATTATTCCGCAACAGTAGAAGTTGGAAAACATAGAAGAATCAGGTCCTTCTATAATCAAGTTAAGCGAAAATTGGGTACCACACAAATCACCCCCTCCCCCTCTTGTGTGTTATTGAAACATCAATAATTGACATTAAACAGGGATCTGATTAAGGGGGTAGCATAGAGTCAAGGGTAACTTGTGAAGTTCCTGTTGCTTCATCTGGTTTATTTTGCTCTAAACATGGGTTATCAATTTCTAAGTTTGTCATCATCAAAAAGAGGGAAATTGATGGATTTCCAATGTCTTAGCTTTATGTTTTGATGATCTAACAAACTTACTGTCAAAGAACCAGATAAGGAACCTAACACACTTGGTACACATCGCAAATCAACGGACTCCATCTAATGTGAACTGCTATAACTTCAGAAGATAGAGAATCAACACAGGAACCTGGTACCCTGGTGTTTCCCAACAGCAGTACGAAGTCAACTGTGTACAGCTACAAAGTGACGGCCTGCACTATACACAGAAACAGTGCAGCACAATTCTGCAGACACTTGTCCTTTGACCAACCAAGTGATTACATCATTCAAGTGATGTCATCCATGTTGTATTAACAAAGAGTATTACAACAAAACATTACTTGAACACTTGAGAATCAACTTGAGCATTCAAGCACTCCAACCGTTCACAGATCAAGCATTCAATTCTCAAGTGCATCAAGAACAAAGTTTAACACTACTACGGACCAGTTCCTAAATCTAGTATCTTGTTGTCCTTAGTTGAGTTGTAACTTTGTAGTTGTTCTTCATTGTAATTCCTAATTTTCTTATCTAGAAGAGTTGCTTAGGAACCCCCTTGTAAAACCATAAACCCTTAGTGTTTGTGTCGTGACTAGAGTTAGTCATGAGTTGAAATCTTTGTAATAGGTGTATTGCAAAGTGGCTTGTAATATGTGTATTACAAGTTAGTGAGGGATTAAGAGTTTAATTCCTAGATTGCATAGGTTGTAATCTAAAAGTTGCTCATAGTGAAGTTGAAATCCTACCGGTCTAGGTCGTGGTTTTTTATCCCCTTGAGCAGGTATTTTTTCACGTAAAAACTTCCTGTCTTATTTACTTACTGTTTTATTAGCTTCTCAGTGGGAACTCATAGAGGACCTGGTCTCTATATAGTTTGGTGAACTCATATATTCTATCACTAAGATATTTTAATTTTTCATTTATTAAGAAAAAATAAATCGCTTTTTGATACTTTAGAGTAGGGATATTTTTTAAAAATTAAATCGACTGAATTGCTGGAATCGAACTTACCGAACCGACTTTGGTAATAGTCTATGACATGCAGGGGCGTATCTAGAGTGTAGTGTATGGGTTCCCGGAAACGCAGTAATTTTTGCGTAGACCTTGTATTTTTATTAAATATTTTACTAAATATCTATAAATATCTAAGGGTGAACCCAGTTATTATGGTATATTGATTTGAGATTGCGACAGGAACCCATAAACTTCAAATTCTGGATCCGCCTCTGATGACATGCAATTATAATTTTTTTTTGATATAAGTAATGAAAAATACCGAACGTCCGAACCGCCTACTTAAATTTATCACACATACTGGGACATTTCTTATTGCCATGCAAAACAAAATGGAATTGGACAGCTTTTCAAAAGGATAATTGGCTTTCAGAATAGTTTTTTTGTAAAAAGATATTTTTGGAGATGCTTTTTTTATTTTTTACGAGAAAAATGTGTTCTACTCGTATTACTACGCTTCAATCCCAATTTAGTTGAATTTTGCTTCATCTATATCAATGATTAGGATCCAAGGGTTTCATCTAAAGTCTAAACTCATTTAAAACTGTAAAAACTCTGAAAAAATAATTTCTAGCAAAAAAGGGAAAGATATTTATATATTTCTTTATACCAACGTTGGTCGCTCACTAAAGGGGAAGCAGATAGAGACCAACTTTGGTCGCTAATATGGGACCACGTTCTAACGTTTAACAATTATATTACTATTTTAAATATTATATAAAATATAAATAAATCATATTTAAATTGGGCGACCAACGTTGGTCGCAAATTTTAGTTTTCTGGATATTTAGCGACCAACTTTGGTCGCTAATTTGAATTTCTGGATAATTAGCGACCAAAGTTGGTCTCTTTCCAGGTCAACATCGGTCAAATCAAAAATCACTTTTGTATTTACTATCTAAATAATATAAATGTAATCCGTTAACACTTTTGTAATACAAGGGATGAATACACTAAAATATACTCTAACATGCTATATCTTTTGTAATACAAGCGTGTTATACACACACACACACACACACACACACATAGATATATATATATATATATATATATATATATATATGTATGTATGTAAATTGAATCATCGACTTATAACCTACTCAGATGCATCGTTGAATATTAAAAACAAAACGTCTCGACTTATGTCAATTAATATGTTATCCAGATTTTGCTAGTAAACCAAGTAACATTCGGTTAGGTCTGTGTGCGGAGGGCTTCACGCCTTTTTCTGTATCCGCAACACCATATTTATGTTGGCCTGTCTTTCTTACACCTTATAATCTACCACCCGAGTTGTGCATGACTAGTCCATATATATTCTTAAATTGTATTATCCCCGGTCCACGTAATCTGAAAAGTTTGATTGATGTATATTTGCAACCTTTGATTGATGAGCTAAAACAATTATGGTACGATGGTGTTGAAACATATGACATATCAACCAAGCAGAATTTCAATTTGCGTGCTAATTTAATGTGCACAATTAACGATTTTCCTGCGTATGGAATGTTGTCCGGGTGGATGACTGCTGGGAAGCTAGCTTGTCCTTACTGCATGGAAAATAGTAAAGCGTTCACTTTGAAATATGGCCGAAAGCAATCATGGTTTGATTGTCATCGTCAATTCTTGCCTCCTGATCATGAGTTTAGAAGGATGAAAAATGCATTCAAAAAGAATAAAATGGAATATGATTTTCCACCTCTGATACTTTCAGGTGAGGAAATTTGGGAGAGGGTCCAG